GGCCCCCAGCCACAAGCGAGGCTGTGTGAAAGCGGCTGGGTCCATGTGGGAAAACTCATCTTAATCTTTAAGCAGATGTCACCTGCAGGCACCCCCTGGGACTGTGCTGAGCCCACGATGAAGGTCAGTGGGGGTGTGGGCAAGGGCTACAGGAAGTCTAAACAGAAGGTCACAGGGCCTGTGGCAGAGCCAGGATGAACCCACGCTCCAACCACAATAAGAGCAGTGTGGACAGGCTCCCAGCTCTGCGTACCTCATTAAGTTCTGTTGTCCTTGAGAGAGACACCACCACCAGTCCGCTGAGCCTGTCCCCAGGCCCCTGTCCTGAAACTAGTCAGGTGTCAGGCAAATGGCCACTGATGATGCTCATAGGAACTGTGGTGTCATGGCTAGGCACCCCCCCCCAGTGTGCCCACCTGCTCTGTGGTTAGTGTTGGCTGTCGCTGAGCACCGTGAGTGCCTGACAGAGCTGGCAGGGTACTGCAGTGTTGGGGTGCTCAGAGTAGAAGAACAGAGAGGCCCTCAGCCTTAGGCTGGGACACGCTTCACTGAGTTGACCCAACTATCCAAGGTAGGGGGAGCAGGGGTTTTTCGCCCCTTTTCAGTTGGCCCATGGGCAGTTCATGGGGCACAAGCATCACCAGCAGTGGGTACCAGGGGCCTGCATGGTAGGACTGTGTTCCCAGGGGGTCAAGAGATGGCCTCAGACAACAGCAACCACTGTGCCAGCAGGAGCCATGGAAGAGGAATGAGGCTTCTGCCCACATCATACAGGACCAGGGGCTGCCCCTAGGCAGGGTGGAGAGGAGAGTCTCCAGGTCCCATGGCTGCACACGTGCCAGGCTGGTCCCAGCAGCCCTTCTGTGACTCACTGACGCTGCTCTTATGTGACATGCATTTTTGGATGACGACAAAGAAAACAGTTGAAAGCAGCCTAACGAACAAGGATGTCTGTTAAAATGTATTTGGACTGGAGAGAGAATGTATGGAAGCTCAGTCACATCCCTGCACTCCTGTCTGAAGCCACCGCTCAGGGATGCAATTTAACAGCTGACCAGGTTACACAAACTGCTCGCTGTGTGTGGGGCCCGCCTCCCACCTGCCGCCACGCTCCTACGATGCACAAGCGTGAAACCACAAGAGCCAGCCAGAAGCCTGTGTTGTTCCCATAAACCAAAGTAAATTCTTAAGAAAAGAGAGACTTCTGTAGCCCCTCCTTTCCCCATTTTCCTCACGTCATCAGACCCTTTCGGAGGCCACTTGATAGACATGGATTCTGCTGCAGCCTGTGTACCCAGAGGCCCTCCACAGCCCTGGCTCACAGAAGCTCCTGGCTTACACATTTTGTCTCGGCTTCTTTTTTAGGTTGACAAACCCCTATAGGAAAGAAAGGAAAAGCCTTGTCCTACAAGGCCAGGCGCTGAGGATGGACACCTGTGTCTAGAATGGTTGGCCAGGTCCTGACGTCCACAGCAGCAGCAGCTTCCCTGGACTTGAGCAGCCGTGTGATGGCCTGGGTGGTGAGGACACAGGCGGACTTGCTGACCTACACAGCACAGGGTGGGGCACCAGTGAGACCAGCCCTTCCCACACCACCCTGACGAGGGGACAGGTTTCCCACCCCCAGGAGTCCTGGCGCACCTCTACAATCATCTTCACGGTGGGCAGTGTGGTGCCAAGGTTTTGAGGGTGTGGAGGCCGCACAGTGACAGGCACACAGCCACAGTACAGGCAGCCGTAGAATGCAGCTATGAGGTCCACGCCTGGGGAGACAGGGGGGTACAGTCAGTGTGGAGTCAGAGTACAGATATCCATCCAGGGCCTGGTAAGGATGGAGAGGTTTATCCATAGAGAAGGGATCAATCCTGGTTTCTTTGTGCTATGGCCACCAATGACACCAAACTAGAAAGGCATTTATCGAACCCTAGTCCTGAAGGGCCAGGCTGGTTAGAAGGTCGTGGAGGGAGGGCAGGTCTGGGCCTGGAGACTACACAGGTGCCTGTACTACCTTGTGCAGTAGGAGGGAGAGGCCAAGGCCCCACCAGCCCCGAGGGCATGACAGCTCCCACATGCCCAGCTCCTGAGTTTCTGTTGCACACAGGCCAGCAGAAGAAACCTTTGATCCAGCTGTTTAGGAAAAAGGTTCCCATATGAGTTCCAAATGCTGACTCAGAAGAAAACACCACCAGACTGAGGGGGCAGGGCCCTCACTTATACCAGGCTGCTAGGGACCATTATATTGCCCCTCCAAATTTCCTAAGTTTACAATTCCCTATAATTAAAACTTAGGGGAAAGTTGTACTATGCTTAAAATCCATGTTCCTGTCTGGAGCTCAGTCTGACTGGAGACCCGGTGTTCCCTGCCCCATTCTCCAGGGCTCCCATGGCACCAAGGCCCCTTAGCTGCCGTGTAGTCAGACCACAAGCCCCAGATATCCTCAGCTGCAGACCTCAGCCTCCAGGCTGTCTTACTAGAGTCAAAATAAACATGCAAGGGACCAGCAGTTAGCATAATGGCTATGTCGCTGGACTCCCATGTAGTTGACCGCGGTTTGAGTCCCGGACCTGGTGGCTTAAACTCACGCCGGGCGCGTGTGCGTGCATGCCCAAGATTCAGAGAGGAGAATGGAGGAGAAGGGATTGCAGCGTGGCCATCCCCCCTGGGGGTGATTTCCCGCTTTCTGTCTCTCTGTCTCTCTCTGTCTGTCTGGTGAGTGCACGTGCCCTATAGCAAAAGCCTCTCCAAAAAAACAAAATAAATAAACATGCAAGGGTTCACATGAAAACTTGGTCATAAAAAACATTTACACCCAGCAGTTCTAATACTTGTACAGGGCTCACCAAGTAGGAAGAGAGCAACTAGAAACACAGCCCAGCTGGTTGCGAGCAGGACCCAATCTACCACTGTTACTACCAGACACCGGGTTCTAGTGGCTGAATGGTGTGCATGGGAGTGCAGCACACAGTAGGCAGTGCAGTGGGAACACTGCCCAACATGCCACAAACAAGAACAGTTACTGCCAGGAATTCACACCTTGGTTCCCAAGATGCAAGGCATCTTCCTCAGGCCCCCGGCCACACTCTGTGAGCGTGTGGGAGGACTGAATCCCAAGCTCTGCTCTTGCAGCCTCTGTAGGTGCACCCCTTGGGTCATGTACCCTCTATTAATGTGGACAGAAGTTTTGACCTTTCCCTCCACCCTCCAAGAAACTCACAACACACAAACCCATGTGCGTCTGCAGATGCCTGCACCTGCCCAGGGTGCTCCAGGGCCCAGACAAGGCCTGGTTTTCCCTGCTCATAGTCCCCACCTACTGTTGAGTTTTTTAAATGTAAATTTGGAAATTCACTGTGGATTTTTTTCATTTTTTTTTTTTAAATAAGTAGTATCAAACATACCCAGAGAATGATATGAGGCCCTATGTTCACCATTCAGATTCTTATATTGAGATGGTCCTGTGTGTTTACCTTTTTTCCCTCTTTTCTTCCTTTGTTGAAGTATTTAGGGTAAGTTGCACACATCCCTGTCCCTCAGGGTGTTTCTAGATGCTACAGCCCCTAGGACTCAGGCTAAGGAAAGGCTCTTGTCCTCCTAGGTACTGAGCTTGGCCAGCTCTGCTCTGGCCTGTGTGAAAGAGGGTAGGGAGACTCAGGGAGTCTCTGCCTCCTTTCAAAGTCGGTGAGGAGCTGCATAAAGTACTTGATGTATGCCTGGAGCCCAGAGGCAGGTGAAGAGCAAGAACTCACTCCATCCTGAAGATATGACCTTACATTCCAAGGACTGGAAAGAATGGTAGGAACTGTGATGCTAGTGAAAATTCTGGAGCACTCAGATTACTGAGTGTAATGTCAGGAAATGCACCAAGCTGCCACAATGCCACGATTCCTGTAGCTGAGCAGGGGACTAGTCCATGGAAGCTGGGGAAAGGTCCCAGCAACACCAGCAGCAGGAGTCCCCCACAGAGGAAGAGCCCTACCAGGTAAACTGAAAAAGAAGACAGTCCTTGCTGAAACCTGAAAAAAGTGAACCAAAAGATCAGGCAAGAAAGATGTCAGCATGAGGAAATCACAACAGAAAATATCCACAATGTGGAGGGCAGATCTAAATGTGAGTTAGAGAGTTCCAGAAACAGACAAAGGAAAAAGAGGTAGTAATGACACAGAGCACTTTACTGAGATGAAGCTGAGTCTGAAGATTACATGGACAAGAAAAGGAGAAGAGACTTAGGCATATCCCAGTAAAATTTCTGAACTCTTAGGTAAAAGGAAAACCTAGGCAAAACAACAACCTTGCAAAGGAAAAAGATGAGACTGGTATTACCACCTTAAAAAGTAACTATACATAATCAAGAGAAATGGATACTTGATATTTCTGTTTCAGTGAAGATACTATTTGCCAGTGAAAGAGAATAAGGTATGCTAGACCTGGAAGAGAAAAACAACTTGGTAATAGCTGGACAACAGAAACAGAATCAAGGCCTTGGGGTGAAATAGGTAAGAACTTCAGAGCTTTCAGCACACAACTCCATCCAAAGTTGGTTCTGAGACTTGATGGAACTCCAGCATGGCTTCCAGCAGCTTGGTCCAGGCCCTTCCAGAAGCCTGGCCCAACCCCTGGAAATGCCCGGTGGGAAATGTCAGGAAGTGAATGGACAGTGACCGTCTGTTCTAGCCTGTGCCTGACAGCAGCAGGCCCTGCCTCCTTTCCTTGGAGCACTAGCCACGAGGGCCCACAGCATACATATGTGCCCCTTGCACTTCAGCAAGGAAGGGTGGGGCCTCCCTCTCCTAGTCTGTGGGAGGATGGTTTGGACAAGGCTACCTCATGGCAGTGACACTGATGCTTTGTCTTCTTTCATTGCTTTGATGCTACTGAGCCCGGCACTCTCCCACCTGCACACTCCCTTTAAAACACCCAAATCACCTCCGTACAAATCACAATGGAGCTCAGCTCTTCCCTCTGCTGTCAGCAGTTACTGATGAAAATCTGTTTCCGCACTTTGACTAATGTAAAGCTCTATAGTTTTTAGATGGAGGAGTGGGCAGAAAGGGGGTATGGAGGGACAGAGAGGAGGGGGAAAAATCAGACTGGACAAACAAGCAAGATACCTGGGCATATGCACTCAGAGGATATTAAGGAGACAGTAAGGAGACCGCAGGAAGAACCGAGTGCAAAGCTTAGGAATCAGGATGGGAAATGGAGAGAAGGGAAAGGACAATGATATTTTCTAGAAGTTCTATGAGCTAGAGGAGCAAATCAGGGGGGAAACAGAACAGACTGGAGAAATGACTGTGTCTTATTCTTAAATACTGCAGATCTGACCAGAGAGCAGGGAGAGGCCACGATGTGGAAATCACTCATCCATTCATTGATCACCATTGTGGAAATCATTCACCCATTCACTGATGACAATCAACACCCATAAGAATTTGAGAATTGCCTCTCCATCCAGGAGAAGGCAGGGCCCTACAGAGAGGAGACAGTGCTGAGAGTGTGGTACAAACCAAGTAGCAGAGAAGAGACGTAAGGAAAGACAAGGCTACAATTAGAGCAGGGGAGGGGACACAGCCAGAGAATCTTAAAAAACAGGCCACCATATGAAGTCAAGTCCTAAACAAAGTTATAAGAAAAAAGAATCAAAAGCAGAATATCACCTGTCTGTACAAAAGAACGTAGGCCAGCTCCATAGCATGGCAGTAAAGCGCTTTGCATACAGAGTCCAATCCCACATGGCCAACAGCGGTTCAAATCATAGTCCCGCTGACTTGAAAATTAAACCAGGGGCATGTGCATGCCCAAAGTCCTGGTGGGATGGAAAAAGAAAAGGACTGCAGTGTGATCATGCCCCACTAGGGGATGCTTTTTCTCTCTTTTACTCTCTCTCTGGTGAGTGAGTGCACAATAAAAAAGAAAAAAGAAATGGAGAAAGAATTAGAAATTTAAAAAAACTATTTTCAGGGTCAGCTAGTGGTGTGGGATTAATGCATCTGAATCTCACATGAACAATTACGTGTTGAGAGTCCTGGACACGGAAGCTTGAAAAACATATGTGTGTGTATGTGCCCAAAATCCTGAGAAGAGAATGGAGGAGGAGGGACTGCAGTGTGGCCATCCTCCCCAGTCCCCAGGGGTGATTTTTTTTCACTTTCTTTCCCCATAGTGCTTTCCCCAGCCCTTGAGTACACATGCCTTATAGCAAACTAAAAAAAAAAAGAAAAAAAAAGAAAAAGTCATTTCAAAATGAAGATGAAGCTTGAAGGAACAGAAGACTACTAAAGGCAATGATAAAGCTGTAAGATACAATTTAACATTCAAAATGAAATTTAGTAAGAAATAGAGATGATTCAATAGTAAATGATAAATACTGGGGCCAGCAGGTGGCTTGGTGGTTAAGGGCACTGGATTCTCAACATGGCCAACTGCAGTTCGCATCCTGGACCCGGCGGCTTGCTTTCTCACTTTCCCCCTCTCTCTCACTCTGTCCCTCTCTGGTCAAATTTAAATAAAATAATTCTTAAAAAAAGTAAATGATAAATACAGAAGGCAGAAAAAGAAGGTCTAATATATGGATAGCAGAAGAAGGACATAAAGAGAAAGCAAGAGAAAACAACAGAGAAATACTCTGACTCCAGAAAATTTCTTGAAATTAAAAATAAAAGATGTGAAGTTACATAGTTAAGGATATCTTGTACATGAGATTGTTGGCCTATGATAACTAACATCGAGATTATAACATACTGGACTTTTACAAAAAAGAAAAACACCCTTTTGACATTTTTAGGCAAAAACAGCAAGTGACATAAAGGAGAAAGGAAACGGGGTTATCATTAGACTTGTTGACAGTACTGCTCTATTGATGCCAGGACAAAGTGGGTGGCAGACTCAAGGTAATCAAGGAAAGAAAAATATGAGTCAGGACTTTTACCTAGCAAAAAATCACTTTCGGTTATAAGGTGTACAGAACAACTATCAACCACAAGCAAGAACCCAGGGAGTACTATTCCCATGAGCTCTTCCTGAGGAATCAGTTTGAGAATGAGCTTCAGAAAACCAGCACGACCAAAGGCCCAGCTATTATATGAACTAAGGGTGAGCGATAAATATCCAGGTGTCTGTGGAACCAAAACCACATAAAGGTGGCGAGGGACAGCAGGATTATGCAATGGACATTCCTCTAGTAATATAGACATGGAAAGGTTTTAATAAAGAAGGAGTGTGGGGAGCTGGCTTGGGGGTATACTGGTTACCTACTGCTCACCCAAAGTTGGATCCATATGGAAGATAACAAATTTGGTTCCTGGATCGACCTGTACATACTGAGCATGTAGGAGTAATCCAAGCCGATTGGGAGGGCTGCTGGGAACACAGCCTGGGACGTGGCCAAGGGTGCATCTCTCTCTGTGTTACTGTCTCCATTTTCATGAAAAGGTAAGTAAATTTATTTTATTTTTAGAACAACTCAGCAAAATAAAATTGTTGTTGGACAACATTGTTTCAACAAACATCAAACAGGCCAAAAATAAATAAATAAATAAATAAATAAATAAATAAAATAAACAGCAACTTTATAGACAAAAAAAGGGAAAAAAAGAAACCTTTTATCTTTGGCCTTTTTAACCATCTCATACAAACCAACTACTTATAGTATAGCTAAGTACATACACAAAAAAAATTAGTAAGTATATTTTAAATAGAAAAGAAGGGGTAAGTAGAATGAGCATGTGCAAAACATTTTAAACTTGTTTTTAAAAAGTTGAACAGGAGGTGGTAGCATTAAACACTTTTTGTTTGTGTTTAAATTTTGCCAGAGGGCACATGTGCTCACTGGAGACAGACAGAGGGGGCAGGGGGAAGGGAAAGCGAGAAAGCATACAGAGAGGATGTTTACGTCACAACCCCTTCTCCTCCATTTCCTCTTCTGGGATTTTAGGTATGCACACACATGTACCCAGTGTGTTTTTCGAGCTGTCAAACCAAATGGTTGGCCATGTGGGAGCCAGCTGCCTTAACCACCATGCCACCAGCTGGCCCACCAGTTATTTTGAGACTGCTGCATATAATGCGAGATAAAGCAAATGAATAATTATAGAATATTCTAATTGTTATCTCTTCTGTCCTGAATAATCAGGATTCCTTGTGTGGAAAAAAGAAGATATATTATAGAAAAGGTTTAGTAAAAGCCCTATTGTCCTAATATGAACCGTATTTAACAGTAGGGACTCATAAACTATTGTATTCCTAAGAGCTGTAATTGTATTTATTCATAATTTCTAGCTCTGCTCACTGGAAAAGCCAACAAGCCACAGCTGCCAGCAGCAGTAAATTCCGCAAGTGCCCAAATTTTGTTCTGGGAATATCAGAAGCATGAGGATTATGGCTGATTTCAGGTCTGGGGGAGGGAGGCACAGGGTGAGGGGGCCATCAGGGACTGGAGTCATATCCAGAGGACTCAGGAGTCAACCACAGAGGTGCTCATTGTGACATAAGAGGGCAGGGCCACACAAACAGTGCTGGGGGTGGTGGTACGGGGAATAGGAACAACTGAAGAGGTGACTCTACTAGAGTTGCCTGAAGGGGCAGTCATGTGCAAAGAGGAGAAGAGTTCAATTCTGGAAGTCTGGGAAAAGAACGTATTAGGTGATGCTTATAAAGATCTGGCAGGGGATGGGTTGATGGGGCACTTACCTGGGGGATAGACCAAAGCCACGTGGTCCCCAACATTCAGTCTTCCTTTCTCCATCAGAGCAGCAGCTACCCTTTCAGCCCTTCTGTGCAGCTGGACACAGGTTGCAGTGCTGGCAACTGTACCCTAGGAAAGCGGCCATTGAGTTTGCCACATGTGCATTGATGACACAGACGTACAACGTGTACATAAATGACACAGACTCAACACTGCATGCTCACCACCATGCACCATGCTCCTGTGGATGGGAATAAGCCCACACGTCAGGGCTGGGTAAGACTGTGGTGTCTCTTCCCAAAATCTGTATTCCTTCCCAACAAAGCAGGGATGAACATGTCAACCCCCCCAAGAGCCTGGCAGTGCAGGCACCCCACTCCTCTGGGACAGAGTTGGATATGTGCCATTAAAGAAACTTTTTTTTTTTTTTTGAGAGGTTTTTGCTATAGGGTACATGCGCTCACTAGAAAGACAGAGAGACAGAAAGCGAGAAATCACCCTCCCTGGGAGGATGGCCACACCGCCACAATCCCTTTAATTCCATTCTCTTCTCAGGATCTTGGGCACACATGCACACATGCTCAGTGTGATTTTAAGCCACCGGGACCAGGACTCAAACAGTGGTTGACTATATGTGAGTCTAGTGACATAGCCATTATGCCAACTGCTGGTCCCAACTTGTGTTTTTTGATGAAATACTTCAAATATAATAGCACCATATGGAATAATATGATAAATAACCAGGTTCCTACTGTCTAATATTTTACCATATTGTTTCAATTTCCTTTTTTTTTTCCTCTTGAGAGATATGTTTGCTATAAGGTGTGTGTACTCTCCAGAGTAACAGGGAGACAGAAAGTGAGAAATCACCCCCAGCTGGAATAGCTGTGTCACAATCTCTTCTCCTTCATACTCTTGCCAGGATTTTGGACACACACACACCCAATATGAGTTTCAAGTCACTGGGCCTGGGCCTTGAACTGTAGTTGACCACATGGGAGTCCAGTGCCTTAACTACTATGCCATTGCTGGGCCCCTCGACTTCCCTTTTAAAATAAATTATCACAGGGGCTGGCAGGTGGCGTGGTGGTTAAGGGCACTGGACTCTCACATGGCTGACCATGGTTCATGTACTAGACTTGGTAGCTTGCTTTCTCAATTTTTTTTCTCTTTCGCTCACTCTCTCAGTCCCTCTCTGGTCAAATTAAAATAAGTAAGTAAATAAATAAAGTTAAGTAAAATAATTTTTAAAAATCAGCATCATTGTACTTGAAGTCACCTGTAGCCTGCTCCTACCAATTCCATCTCTTCTCTCTCTGAGGCAACCAGTATGCTGCATATAAACACATATAAATAAGTAATAAGCACTAAACAAACCTCCATGGACATATACTACTTGGTGCTTAAACTTCACATGTTCAACCCAACCCAAACCTGCTCCTATGACTGCCCTGACTGTGCCAGTTCCTCCCTTCACCTCACTGCTCTGATGGGTGTCTGGGCCATGAGGCCAGGTCAGTACAAACAGGAGCCCAGAATGCCCCCTGCCCTGCCAACTTGGCTTTCCCAATCCTGTGCCAGGTGGGCCTTATAGCTTTAATAGTCCTAAATGAAAAGGGATTAGGGACCAGGGCCCCTCTAGAGCCCCTCCAGTCAGCATCTTTGCTTGATCTCCACCCATGAGCATTCTATCAAGTTTTCACGCACATCTACAGGACACCACAGTTCCTGCTTCTGGTAACACATCACGCTTATCCACATCTGTACTGCTCTGCTCCAATCCAAACTACTGTCCAGGGTCCATGTGCCCCATGTTCCCTCATTTGCCTTAATCCCATCTAGGGCTATCCACCTCATTCTTGTCTGCATTCTCATCCCAGGTCCCTGGGTGTCGCTGCTGCAAGAGCCCTACTACCCTGGGTAGAGCTAGCTTCCAGCAACTGTGTTACCTCTATGCTCTGTTAATCTTAAGGTTCTCACCCTGAGCTGATCTTATCTGGACCTACTGCCAACCAATGACTGGCTGCCTGCTTTAAAATTCAGTCATAATATGAATGTTTACTCAACCTTGTTGTAGATGCTGCCGATACAAAGGGAAGAAGAAAAAGTGTCTCCTACAAAACTTGTGTTTTAGCAGAGAAGACTGATTTTGAACATTCTAGAGCAGGGGATCCTTCTTACCTAATTTAACACTGTGTGCATAGTAGGCATTAATGAGTACTTGTTAAATGAACAAGCAGCATCAGAAGCTAGACTATTTTCTAAGATCATGCTAAGAATTCTCATAGTCTACATGATGTATTTCAGGGAGGATTTTTATTGTTATGTCACTTCCATTTTTGTTCTGATTATTTATATCAGAGGGTACATGTGCTCACCAGAGACAATCGAAGAGACAGAGAAAGCATGGTCAGGCCCCAATCCCTTCTCCTCCATTTCTCCATATTGTTGGGATTCGGGGCATGCATGCACACGTGCCTGGCATGCTTTTCAAGGCTGGCTCCAGTTATTTCACTGTGTTTTCATATTTTGTACTGTGGCCTACAACTTGGATGTCAGGATTACACTGTCTCTTCCTTTATACCCTAAATGCCCCTGCTACAGTGAGGTGCACTCCAGCAGGTATTCAAACCACATGAGAGTGACTTGCCATGTCAGACACTAGCAGCAGGGCTAGGTCATGACACAGTTTTGCCATTTTGAAGCCATACAGGACTGTAGAAAGTCTAAATGTCTAAATTTTTACAAAATAAGCATCTACATTTAGCTTAGAAACTAGGATTATTTACATACATACTATTCTTAATTAAAAAAAATAAATAAAACTGGGCCAGCAGGTGACACAGAGGTTAAGGTAGCTGGATCCTGCATGGCTGACTCCATGGATTGAGTCCTAGACCCGGTGGCTTAAAAATCACACTGGGTGCATGCACATGAAGGTCCAAAATCCCAAAAGGAGAACAGAAGAGGATTTGTGGCGCTGCATTCTCATCCCAGGCCCCTGGGTGTCACTGCTGCAGAGCGCTGCTAGGCCTGCACAGTCATCCCCTCTGGGGGTTGATTTCTCACTTTCTTTCTCTCTGTGTCCTCTATCTTTCTCTGTTGATTGCATGTGTCCTATAGCAAAAAACTAAAAAACAAAAACAAAAACAAAAACTAAAAAAAACTAAAAAAAAAAAAAATCTAGGGTTAGAAGGTGGCACAATGGTAAAAACACAATGACTGTGAGGTTTACCCACAAGGGAAGGTTGCCAGTTTGAGTCCAGAGACCTCCCAGAGTACACTGGATACATGTGCCTATGGTATCGGGGCTGGTGGATCATGATGTCCAGACTCTGTCAGGGGTGCTGTCTCTTTCTCTCTCTCTCTCTCTCTCTCTCACTCATGAAGTAAATAAGCAGTGGTGGTGCAGTATGAGGGCAATGCTGCAAGATACCGGAGCTGCCTGAGAAGGTCCAGGGTTTGGATTCTGGGTCAACCTGAACAAATCAGGTGCACCCATGATGCTGGCTAGCTGCAAGGCTTGGGGAAAGACTGCAGCATAGCAAGATCTTATTGTAGATCTCTGTCTCTCTTTATTTCTCTCATAAAAGGAAAATAAGTAATAAATAAGTAAAGGAGTAAACTTTAAAAAATTTTTTAAACTGGAGCTGATGAAAATTGTTCCACTAAATACAAAATCTATAGAAATATCATTATGTGAACTGTGCAAAAAACAAGGGCTGTACAAAGAAAGGGCAGGCAGACCATGCTATACCAGACAAGGGAAGCCCAAGTTTACAGGCATGCTATTCTTAGGACATGAAAATAAGAGATGTTAGAACTATGCACTGTAGCAGCAATAGGCTCCAGCAGCCCACACAGTGTTCCTGAGCCCCCCAGCAGCATCCTTGCTCTCACCTTGGCATTCAGCAGCAGAAACAGCGGGTGGTCAGGGGTGGTGTGGGCCCGCCACTGTAATACGTCAGCCAGAAACAGGAACTGCAAGAGAGGGGCTGACTCAGGCACTGGCAGCCCTTAGGACCTTGGTGGCTGCCTCCTAGGAACAGGCCTGTTACCTTCCGTGCCTGATCGCTGTCTTCAGGGTGGGCGAGCTCTCTCCCGGAGGCCTGTGCGATTCTTTTCCCAGCCACCAGATTCCCAACAACCATTGAGGCAGGTCCAACCTCTGGACACAGGAGTGCAGAATGAGAAGCTGAGAACCTCTAATGTACAACCAGCACAGGAATTCATTTCTATCTCACTTTTCATTTTGAAAACATGCTTCAGTTAGGCATGTAAGTCTTCTATCAAGATACAGAAAGACTCAGAAAAACAACTACATGGTTTACCCTAAATAACAAAGAGAACCTCCTCTCAAATGTGAACTACGTGGTGTTGAGAACTTTATGACAGGGCACATGTCTTGGGGGTATGACTTGACCTTGGCCACTGCCACATTCTTTGTATGTTTTATTTTACTGTATTCTAGATATAAGTCAGGAAATCTATCTTATTTAGTGGCATTTTATACATGTTCAGTAATTAGCAAAATAAATGTTAGCATGTACTCAAAATTTACATAGCCAATGAGATAAAAAAAACTGAATATAATAATCAGTCTATAAAATTAGTTTTAAATGTATAAAATCAGGAAAGGAAACTTAACTGTCGGTTGAGAGACTTCCAAGGCCCATCAATCACTGACATGACAGGTCCCAGGGCTGAGGTAAGCAGCTGACTCCTGAGGACAGTCAGTCACCCATGGCAAAGCGGTGGCCAACAGAGGCCACTTCCATCCTCAAACTCTGAGTCCTTTCTTGGGCACAGTTTCTACTCCCAGAGAGCCATCTCCTAGCTGTGCAAAGCTAAGATGCCATCCTTGAATTTGTTGTTGTAAGTGGCTCCTAACAGGCAGCAGGGGAGTCCTACACAGGTAGGACTCATTCACGGCTCAGCTCCAGGAAGGGAGGATGCATTGGCAAACTCGAGGGGCACACTTTGGCTCATCACCCCAGCCCCAGAAACGTGGGCAGTTACTGCTTTAAGGCCTAAAGGTGCTGTGTCAGAACCACGACTGCGACTGACTGCTGTAAGAGGGGAGAGTCACGTGCAAGCCCAGCTGACCTGGTTGTTTTTGACGAGGTTTAGGAAGGTTGGTCACACAGCTGTGAGGACACATCAGCACATGGCACGGGTGCAGCGTCCCTCCTAGAAAGCGCTGTTTTGTTTCGGAAACGTGAATTCCTCCCAGAGGAGCCTTGGGCAAGGTGTTGGCAGGAACCAGGGCCAGACAGTACACGCCCACCTGGTGGATGCTGTCAATGGCCTGGAAGGAAAAGCTCTCCTGAGCACATGCTGCCAACTTGAGGCTGGGAAGAAGATGGATGGAACAGAGGCCCAGAGGCCCGGGAAGCAGGTGATCTCTGGGACATCTTGTTAAATGAGAAAACCAGATGGAGAGAAGGATGTGTTTCTACCATTTAACTAAAAAGGAGATACATATGCATGCACACACACATGCAGTGTATGTGTACACATGTATAAAACATGTGACCATTTACAATAAACATGCAATGCTAAAAAGCCACAGGAGCTTCTTGAAGGGGAATGAGCAGGGACAGAGCCTAGCGTCTCCAAACACATCTTGCTTCTCCATTTGACTTTGGAACTCTGTGTGAATTTTACATATGACAAACTTAAAAATGTAAAAAGCAATCTCTATCAACTAGAAATAAAATAAAGCAAATGAACCCAAACCAACTGGAACCAAGTTGCTGCATAGCCCCACTGAGAAAAGTCACTTGAAGTGACTGAATAGGAATTTGAAGGTCTGCCCTATGTGGGATATTCCCAAGGCAGAAAAAACACATAACCTCACATTACTCAGGTCTTATGTCTTAGAGGTGGTGTGGAGACCATTTTCTTGAGACTTAGGGTATACAGTGGGGCCTGAGGTAAATAAGTGATTCTGTTGGGGTTATCAGCAATCACAATTTCTCACTGTGGGGAAGGAGTAAATGAGCTGAGTGAAAACTGCAGGGTCTTGAATTTGAGTTGGAACTATCAGCATAAACTCATAATGGAAATACTCTTACAAGCAAGCTAACAGGCATCATTTTCTATTCTGTCCACTGAAAAAAGCCCAGAAACAGTAACTTAGCCAGTAACATTGAGTGCCCAGATGGTGAATTCAAACATCATTTCCCCTGGAGGCAGGAGGGCCCTGGGGTCCCACGTGCGAAGTCTAACACAGGGAAGGCAGAGCCAGCCCTGTGCCTCCAAACTTCCCATTTCTGCTGTGGCCTCAAAGATTCCCAGAGTATATCAAAAGGACTCAAAATCCAACCTGAAGAGACTCCCACTGACCACTAAAAAGTAATAATAATAGCTGTAATAGTTTGAAACACTGCCAATATGCTTAAACCCACTAGCTGATAATGACACAAACGAAGCAACATTCAGGGGTCAGTTCCTGAGGACCCCTGCCCTGAGAGCCATCCTGCCTCTCTTTCTTCTGCACAATCTACTCTCTGAATACTGGGTGGTTGGAGACGACGTGGTGCTCAAGAAGGAATTTTGAAAGTAGCTATGGCTAATGATGAAGAAAGAAGGACAAAGTTGCAGCACTGTGAAGTCCTAACAAATCAACTCACACAGGAGTGCTGAACACATGTAGGAAGAATTTAGCCAGAAAACTGGCCCTGAGTCTCCTCATAGTCCTACATCCAAGCACATGTACAGGGATGACAGGGCACAGAGGGCATGTCCAGTGATATCACAAAGGTGCAGTCTCGAGGGTTGGGTAGGAAGGAGGTACTGGGCACACCTCCGTTTTCCCCAGTAAATAAACTGTAAGGAAAATAGGATGGGGGGGGAGGGGTCGATGGGCACGAAAAAGCCTGAAAGACCTGTCCCACAATTGTATTACATGACCTTACTAAACTAAATAATCATTAGATAATCAGGGAAATTAGTGATTAGATATTTAGTACATCAGTAAATCACTGTCAGTTTTCAAGATGTGCTAGTGGCATTTTTGGCAGTACCAATGGGACATGAACTGACCATTGTGGAAGCAGGAAGATGAGAACATGGGACTCGTTGGACTATTCTCTTCATGTTTGACATAGTAAAACATTCTGTAATTAAATGTTTGAAATTTAAAACAAATGTGAATTACTGGTGGAAGCATAGAGTTCTGGGACTTCCATGACACACACAACTTCAGAGCCCTATTAACTGTCTCCCACGTACAAGTCTTTTCCAGGTAGCTGTGGGGAGAGTGCCCGTCCCCACGGGTGCAAACCTGCAGCACACGGCTCATCCACTGGAAGCTGTCCTCCTCCGAGGCATCAGGCCGCTGCTCAGCCACCAGGACGATCCGGTCATCATGCAGCACAGTCACAGAGAACACAGCAATCCTGAGGGGACAGCAACAGTGACCCCATGGCAGAGAGTGATGGCCACAAGGCACAGGCTGTAGTGACATGCAAAGTTCAGTCTAACAAACAGGTTGCTTGTGGGTCTATAAAGAGGCCAGTCTTTCTCATCTCCTTGTGTATGTCTGAAATAAGTTTCAACTCACAAAAATGGAGAGGACTTCAGGGTAAAGCAAACCAGGTGCAGATTTTCAAGAGAAGATGTTTAACTCTAATTTTAATATATGAATATATTATTTTGTGCACAAATCTTCATCTATGAATCCTACTAATGATATATGTTTTCAAGTCAACAGAATCACTCTCTCTCTTTCCAGGGTCGATTTGTTCACATGTACGGTGATGGGTATTTGAACTTGCTGCTACTACCTTACTTTAAGAGTTTAAAAATGTGCTCCCGTTCCCCATGATTCTTCTTTTAGACTTTCAGTTGATATTTCCAACTCTCCCCTCATAAGACAAGAAGCTGGTATCTGCCTAAACCCAAGTCATGTCAGTACACCTACCACTCTAATTCTGGGTCATTACGTATCTATCTTCTCTTGTTCTTTGCTTTGGCTGGTGTGTACACATACCCACATGCTATACCACATGAACACACACAAACACTGCACATACCACACACGTACACACACTACACACATACATACACTACACACCACACAAAGGACACACACCACATATTCTTTTATACTGCTTTCCTTACTTTCATATACTTTGTAGCACCAAGTATTTTTAGTACCTTGTCTAAAAGTGTTTTTTTTTTTTTTTTTGAGAGGTTTTTGCTATAGGGTGCATGCGCTTGCCAGACAGAGAGAGACATAGAGACAGAAAGCGAGAAATCACCCTCCAGGGGGGATGGTCACATCGCAATCCCTTCTCCTCCATTCTCCTCTCGGGATCTTGGGCACGCACGCACATGTGCCTGGCGTGAGTACTAAGCCACCGGGTCTGGGATGCGAACCGCGGTTGACTATATGGGAATCCAGTGACATAGCCATTATGCTAACTGCTTGTTCCCTAAAAGTGTTTTTGAAACAGATCTTCCTGTGACAAAAATTCAGAAATGTTTTTATTACAATCCACAATTTGGATGAACACAAATCTAAGATAAAGCTTCTGGAAACTTAAAACCATTGTCATCTTTCATCAAGTCCGTTGCAGGGAAGTCTAAGTGTTCTGCTTGGCTCCCCTGGGGCCCAGGAGAACATCAATCAACTCAACAAAGCCATGACCCTCTCCCCAGGCTGGAGCACCCACTCCTGCATTTGTGGACACTTCTCTTCTTCATGCACACCCTTTCAGTAGTATGCTCTCTGGACACCAGCTTACTTACTACCCCATTTCTCACAATAAAGCGCTCAGCTTTTTATTTCTTTATTTCTAGAGTAGTTCCTTAATCTGTCTTTTTCTTCTTCTTTCCTTTTTTTTTTTTTTTTTTTTTTTTTTTTTCTTTAGGGCGCGTATTTTT